AACTTGCCCAGAGGTGGCACAGCAAATGTAGGATCAGCTACAAGCTGAGCACATGGCGAAGTAATCACAGTACTGTTTCATATTTGCTAAATTTCATATGGCTCCTCTCATACACATTTTCACAGTGCCATTATACAGCCTAACCTTACAACCACCTCGGTGCAGGCAAGCACATACTAAATCTCATCCATGCCAGTCTGTAATGTGGCGGTCAAGTGGATCAGCCCATGTAGGTGTTGGAAAAAGCAATGTCCTGGTGTACAAAGAAGAGAAGTAGGCCCTGCATGGGGCAGCAAGAAGACAATTAGATAGGATAGTGAGGTCAGCTCCTTCTCTCCTGTTAAATGTCATTCCTTGTCTGTCTCCAGATTGCTACTCTTAGGGTGTTTCCCCCTTCTTCTCAGGAGTGCTACATTCAGTCTCCCCTCTCTCTCAGCTAGAGATATAGTTAGGAACTATCTCTCTTCTCCTTCCTATCAAGTATGTTAGTTCCTAAATAAACCTTTATCTACAGGTTGTGCACCTTTGCTGTGTTAATTATCTGCCAACAGTAGGAAGACACACTTGCCTTGCCAGGAGCTGATGCAGTGGAAGTCAGAATGCTGAGGTGCTCATGAGAACAGATCCTTAGTTCAACTGTGTATGCAGGCAACAGGAAAGTATTCAGGCTTTGGTGGTTTGTGGACTAGGCTCAAGAACTTACATTACAGGATACATAGTGCCAGCCTAATAGTATGCACTGAAGTATCAGCTGCAGGTTGCTGAAAATGATATTACCATTATCAAAAGAACCCAGTAGTTTATTCATGCAACACTAAACATCTGGATTATATTGTTGAAACATTCTATAGCGCTTTTGGCCTCAACCACTTCTGACTAAAATGTGTTTGTGATTTGACTTTGTTCACTGACACAAATTCCTTAACATTTGAATGTCTTATTGAAAGCCACATAGATGAATCCCTCATCACACAAGAGAGGGAATGAAAAAAACAAATCCCAGAAGCAGGGAATCCCTTTGTGTAAAAGGGCTAGTTTGGGGCATCTTGGTCATGTCCTTTATTAAACCGAACCATTTGCTTTCAAAGCAGAGTTCAAATAGTTTCATTTGAAATTAACAACACACAAGTAGTGCCCTGCAGACAGACCCCACTCCACACCCATTTTTGTAAAAAGCAATGGCATGCAGTGGGTTCGTCCTGCTTGAACCCAATGCTTTGATCACTTTAACAACACTGAATGGACTCACCCCATACTTAGTTTAAATTAATGACAGATGAAGTACACACAAACAGCACATCATGCATGCAACCAACAGGCACACAGGAAAAGCCATATGTGCCTGGGATACAGGCATTATGTACATCCTGTAGCATGTCTTAGTGGGAGGGATTCAGTTTTGGGAGAGGACAACCTTAGATTATTATTTCTTTTAAAAATACGATGGGTTTGACTGCTTAGTTTCCTACCCTTCCTGAGTTTTAATGCTGGAGACTGCAGACAAAGAAAGCCAGCTGAAACTGGATTTTTTGATAACTATTTAACAATTTACTACACTAACATTTGTTTTAGAGAACACCAAGATATTTGCACATTATTACATAGAACTCCAGTCTCCTTATGGGAAGAAAGTTAATTTCTTGCAGTAACAGGAAAATCTTCATCTCTAGAACTTTATTCTGGTTTGTAGCACAGAAAGGCTGGCAATCCTCAGAACTACAGAAGTAAGGCACTTGTCCTTGTAAAGGCAAAGGTTCCCTTGCTCGAAAGCCAGTCGAATCCGACTGTAGGGTTGCGGTGCTCATCTCCATTTCCAAGCCGAAGAGCCAGCGCTGTCCGAAGACGTTTCCGTGGTCATGTGGCCAGCATGACTAAACACCAAGGCGCACGGAACGCTGTTACCTTCCCACCAGTGTTCCCTATTTAAAAGGTAAAGGTTCCCTTGCTCGAAAGCCAGTCGAGTCCGACTCTAGGGTTGCGGTGCTCATCTTCTCAGGAAGGAGGGCTCCAGAGGAAACTGATTTATGCCGCAGCCAAATCGCTCGCTCACCACTTTTATGCCAGTAGCTCACACAGTAGAATATTTTGCTCACAAGACTCTACAGCTTAGAGGGAACATTGCTTCCCACCGCAGTGGTACCTATTTATCTACTTGCAATTTCTTGCTTTCGAACTGCTAGGTTGGCAGGAGCTGGAACTAGAGACGGGAGCTCACTCCGTCATGTGGCACACTCGGGTCTTGAACTGCTGAACTACCGACCTTCCACAGCCTGCAGTTCAGCCTCTTAACCACTTGAGCCACCACAGCTCCTTGTCCTTGAAGAACCCCTAAAAATGTCTACACGGTATATTTATGTCAGCACAACCTTGTGTGCTGATAAAGAGAACTTTTCTCTCTCCCACAATAAAATAATTCAAGGCATCCCACTGAAATTGATCAGTGACACTGATTCATGGAATTTGCTGGCAAGACATACAGTGACAGCCACCTGATGGCTTTAGAAGACAAATTCATAGAGAGTTTATGATTGCTAAGGGATGCCTTCACTTGCAACAGAGGCCTATTGCCTTTTTATCTGGTTCCTGGACTTCCCAAGGGGTATTTGTTTGGCCCTTGTGGAAACAGGATGATAGAGAAGACAGACCTTTGGTTTAATCCAGTATGGCTTCTTACATTTGTATGTGGCATCTGAATAGGATCATCCTAAAAGAAACTTCATGTAGGCAGATTTCTCCCTTTTTACCAATCCTGGTTTAGAAGGATGGCAGGGTATTTGGGAAAGTTTAAAAAATTTGGGGTGATTAGTCAGTTAATAGGAAATTGAGATGTTAATTTGATTATAAGATTAAGATGGAAGGTTAATAGAGTAATAGAGTTGTACTGAGATTGATTGTGATATAATACTGTATGGAATTTTATGTCTCTAATGCCTGGAAGTCACACACGGGTGGTGTTGGTGTTGGACATGTTTTATGAAATAAAATATTATTTTAAAAAAACAACAACAATCCTATCTGATCCTAACACAACAAAATCACAATAACATCTCCCATGCCACTGTATATAGAAGATGCGCCAGCAAAACATGTGTGATGTCAGAGTGATGTCATACCACTGTAATTTCAGTGTCAGTGTAGTATCAGTGCAATAATAATAATAATGATAATATCTTTCGATTTATTAATTGCTCAATCCTGCAGAGCCGCTGGCTCTGAGCGATTTACAGTCACACATATTAACAAGGGACTAACAATGATTCATAGGGGGTAAGGGAGGACAACATATAAATCTTTTTTTAAGTCGCAAACGTTTGCAGCCGACAGGGTTTTGTTTGTTGTTGTTCAGCTGTAGACTTAGACGTGTTCCAGACGGCATTCACTCAGCTTGGCTTGATGATGTCAGTTTTTCCAGGACTGCTTCGAGTCTCAGCGTCGCACTGCCACCGCCTGGCCGGTGATCTTTCCAGGCTTCCGAGCTGGACATTCCATTTTGCCGGCTAATACCTCCCCCCACGGGGGGGGGTTAGTGTGCCCACCCTCTCTAAGGAGTGGTACCCATTTTATCTACTTGCCAAAGCTTTTGAACCACTGGGTGAACCGCGAGCTAGGGACAAGGCTGGTAGTTCACACCAACGCGGGCTAGAACTGACAGCAGCTCTGTTCAGTTCAGATGTTACCGTAACCACAGGATAAATCCTCTGTGCCACCGCAATGATACTGGGTAGCACTGGGCACACAGTGGGAGATGAGCAGAACTTAGGATAATAAGCATTCTCAGCCCAGGTTCCTGCCCTTGAAATGAGCACAATATCACAACAGCAAAAGATATGAAGCCAACCTGTCCCACTGCCTCCCCCACACCAGATTCCATGCTTCTGCCATCCAGAGGTTCCAAGCAGATTGTACATAAGTCCCACAGGACTTATTGAATGAAAAACACCTTCATATTGAAATACCCTTTTTTATTTTTACATTTGTTTCTTACCATCCCTCCAAGAGACTTGGTCTTTCACCACCACTCCAATATATGAATGAAACAATCCTGCATGTATGGAACCAGTCATATTCAGTCTTTCCCACCTAATCAGTATCCCATTGGGAGGAAGAGTATCAGTTTTGAGAGAAAGACCTCTTCATGTGGTTGTTTAATTCACAGACAGTATTCTCCATTGTGGGATCATACTAGGAGGAACCAGATTCCACCGTGTTCTGATGTAGTCTGCCTGAGTGAAACAGGGATCTGAAACACAAGTTCATTCAGAGGGTAAAATCACACCACTGAGAAATGTCTCCCACACTGCATTTCCATAGGTACTTCACCCCCACCATTAGCCAATGTTGGTATTACTTTCCTAAAGATTGTCCATGGGTGGGGTGGGGTGCAGCAGCCAAGTTCCATGATCAGAAAAACTGCATTTTTTTCTAAGTATGAAACTGGCTCTTGTGAACGGCTATGATTCCTTGCTTTTGCTCAACTAGCCTGTGCTTGGCCAATAGAGACTAGCAGCCAGCTGTGGTAACATCAGCAGTATAGCTTAATCGTAATAATGGAACGACATCATGTGACTTCAGGCTATTCTTTGCCAAGCAAGGAGCTTGCCAGTAAATTGATTACTCTTTTGTTTTAAACTGGCTTCTGTAGGTAACATCTGCTCACCCCGGCCTTTCTGTTGGTGCTTTTTGTGATCTAAGCTGGAACAACCCTTCCTTAATTTTTAAGGTGGCACCGGTCTCCTGTTCCGGTTTCAGACAAGCATGTGTAGGGCCGACCTCAACTTACTATCGACACGTGCGTGTCGCCACTTGCCAGCTCCTACTGAGGCGTACTCGTCCGAGTAAACATTCACAAAAGCGAACTATACGACAGGAGGCGAACAAGCGCTTCCCTACATGGTAGATAACCGAGACCCAGAGCGGACCAACCCCGGCCGGAGGCGGAGCTACTTCCCCGCTTCCCCTTCCTTCGCGTTTCCTAGTCCGTTCCGTGGCTCCGCCCCTACCAGGCGTCACTTCCCTGAAAGCAGCTGAGCGGAAGGAAAAATGGCGGCGCTGGGAGAGCCTGTGCGGCTGGAAAGAGGTGAAGGCGCGGGGAGTGATGGGCCGTGGGAAAGCCAGCCACGCTGCAGGGGAGCAACGGAGGACTCCGGGAGGGATGGGGAGGTGGTGTGCATAGCAGGTGGACCTGGTGGCTTTGGGCAGGGGCGGTCGGTCAGGGCAAAGGGCCCCACAGCCGGCCCAGCACCCCCAAGGGGGCGGGGGGAGCGCCTGCCTGCGAACAAGAGGTGCCTGACCGGCTTGGCAGGGCAAGGCTCGTCCTGTCGCTCGCAGAGCGAGGTGAGATCGGGCGGGGCGGCCGTGCGCCTAGCTAAAGAGGCCGTCTCTCTTCTTGGGCTTGGGTGGCCGTGGTGAGGTGGTGACCCCTTGGCCGTCGGCGTTTTTGTGGTTGTTCAGCCGCACAGTCGAGTCCGACTCTTCGCGACCAGATCCCGCCAGTCTTCCGCCGTCCTCTGAAGTTGTCTCAACTTCATGTTCGTTGCATTTATGACACTGTCTCACCATCTCATCCTTTGCCGTCCCCTTCTTCTTTGACCTTCAATCTTTCCCAGCATCAGGGTCTTCTCCAGGGAGTGCTCCCTTCTCATTTGGTGGCCAAAGTATTTGAGCTTCGGTTTCATTATCTGGCCTTCCAGGGAACAGTCAGGGTTGATTTCTTTTAGGATTGACTGATAGGGTTGACTTATTTTGTCTTCTTGCAGTCCAAGGGACTCTCAAGAGTCTTCTTCTCGGTGTCCTTCATGCTCAGTCAGCTTCTGGCATTGGAGGAGAAGTCTCATGGTTGAAGGAGGGGGTTCTTGCTAGTGGTAGCACCGCTGTAGACATAGGCTGTTCTGGGCCCAGGCAGGCAGGCGTGGCTCCCCTGTCCTCTGTTCCTCATCTGTCCCCCTCCTTTGCCCCTCGCTCTTCTGCACTCCTTTCAAAACAGCTCCCTCCTCTGGTTGCCTTGCCAGGGCTTGGAGCCACCCGTTGTCAAGAGTGGGTGACTAAAGAACAGCACTAAGCCTTTCAAATCAGTTGTCCATCTTCAAAGCAAATTAACTGTTCCTTTGAATGCTGAACTCCAAAATTGGGTTTAAAACAATGAACTTCAGATCTAGCGTTCTAAGGCTCTATGAAATACTCTGGGAGTCAAAGCAGATTGGTGGTGTTTATTTAGAACTGACAGGAGTGGAGACTCTTAATTTGTAGTGGTGCATATATGTAGTTGTTGTTTTAATTTAGCACTATACAGATTTTTAAGTTTACACATTTTTAAGCACTGGCATCAAATTTGTGGTGGCTTGTGATTTTTCTAATCTTCTGAATTAAATGTATTATTTTAGTTTATGAACATGTGAGACTACCTAAAGCTGGATCAGATAATTGGCTTGTCCAATCCACAGGTACATACTGGCGACAGTTCTCCAGGATCTAAGGCAGAAGTCTTTCCCATAGGAAAGCATGTGACCTGTATTGCTTTTTTCTGACCTTACATTTATGTAATGAAAGGATATCCTTTTCTCAGACTTTAGTTCAATGAGTGAGACAGTGTCTGCCTGCCTGCCTTCCGTACTATGACACCTCCCCCCCTCAGTTTTACAGACTTTAACCTTTCACTACTGAGCTGTCATAAACTGAGGTGCAAATGGTCGAGCACTAACAGCACTGATTTTACTGGGGTAATATTTCTGATGGTGCCTTAAAGTCATTGAACTGGCCTTGTTGCAAACCATTAAGCCTCTGTATTGGTTCTTCCACCATCTTGTGAAGTAGAAATAACACAAACACCCCTCACGTTGCTACAGGTATTTAGAGATTTATACACCTCCCCCATCTTGTAAAGTGGAAATAACACCCCTCATGTTGCTACAGGTATTTAGAGATTTATACAGTTTTTCTGCCTAATGGGGACCCAAAGTAGTTTACAACATTGTTCCCCCCTCTTCCACATTATCTGTGGGGCAAGCTAGGTTGAGAGATAGTGACTGGACCAGCCTCACCCAGTGAACTTCCATGACAAGTGGAGATTTGTACCTGGGTCTCCCAGATCCTAACCTGACATTCTAACCGCTAACATCGCAAACAGGTAATACTTGTAACAATTCTAAATAAATTGCTTTCGTTTCACATTGAAATCAGTGTGAGTAGACTGGAGTAATTCTGCTCAGGATTGTACTGTTAGTGGGTCAGGCTTGATTTAAATATCAGGCTGTCAGAGTAGAACAACTTCCTTGTGCGTTTTTGTATAGGCTTGGGGTCTTTATTTAAATTATTTTGCTAATTGTACAAAGCAGCCACATATGCTTAGTGCGCATGCCATAGATCTGTAGCCCTTGGAGACGTGCTGGTGTGCTAATTGGGAGCATACAAGTGCTTTGCACAGGTCGCAGCACTGTTTCAATGAGATCTGGAGCCTGTGCTTTGCCAGCTGACTTTTAATCTAGGCATTATTAATATATGAAACCAAGAGGGACATTGTTTTCCAAATGATTTTGTTTTCAAAATTACTGTCTTTTCCGGCTTATTTTATTCAAATGATAGATATGTCAGCTCTGAGCCTGATGTGAGCCTTTCTTGTGTCTTTCTGTCCATCTGTGCCCCCCCCCCATCCAACAAAGGACTTTCCTTCTGATATGACAGAATCACAAGTCATGGTATTTGTATCCAAAATGGAAACTAGCTTGCCATACAGTTAAGCTCTAGTATTGGATTTAATAATGCTCGCCATGCAATTCTATGCAAGTGATTCGCTAATTTCAGTGTGCTTAGACTGGAGTAATCAGTGTAGTGCACTATTAATTCTGATGAAGTTAATGCAATAGAATGGGGTTAAATTCAAGCCTTTAGCAAAACACTGTGTTTGATCAGGTTGCACAAGGCAACTGTTGAAGAGAGCAGCAGAGTAGAGACTAGGAAGAGGTGTTGGATGTTTTCTGTTACAATTTTGCATTTTTTCAAGATTTCAGTTGTCAAAACTGGCATAGGTAGTAGTTTGGGAAACAAGCCTAGATTCATGTGTCCTGGTTACTACTTTGTAATTCAGATCTGATGTTTTGGTTTGTACTGAATTTAAACGGGGCATTTTGCACTGAGGAATATGCTGCTTAAGTAGAAATGTGTATCAGGGGGCCTTGATGCCTGCTGTTTGTGTTCCTTACCCCAAAACTTGTTCATTACAGCAGCTGTTTTTCACAGTAGATTAGCTGCTGTGTCTGTTGTGGGGAGGGGAAAGGAGTTTGTAAGCCGCTCTGTGACTCCCTTGGGTAGTGAAGGGTGGGGTATAAATCCAATCTCTTCTCCTTCTCTAAATCACTACTTTAACATGATCCTCTGCTTAGCATCATTTTCTTTTTAAGTATTGCTAATTAGAGTCATGGACAAAGTGCAATGCATTCATCAATGGCTACTTGCTGTGGTGACTAAATGGATTTAAAAACAGTAAACTGTTGAATACCAGTGCTAAGAGACACTGTTTACTCCAGGATAACCACTTGGCTACTCTGTAAAGTAGGATGTTTGATTATAGATTGCGGACCTGAACCAACATGCAAACTGTTATGTTTTCTTCATTGCATTATTCTGCCACTCTTCTGAAACAAACCTGTCAAAATAATTTGGTCCTTTGGGGAAAGACATTGTTACTGTGTTAACCCAAAATGTAGTGGGGAAAGTCCTCTTTTTCAGGGAGGGAATTCTAAAGAAGCCTGCTTAAACTAGTATATATATTTTTATTATTCTTGGCTGAAGTTCCTGGTAGTGTAGAATTGCTGCTGCACATACATGGGCAATTCCTTTATCATATTAACTTTTTCTGGTATTCTTCTTTGGGGGGATGTCTGCTGTCTCTCAGCCTCCTCTATATAGCCTAACTTGTTTGTGGTGACAGAGGCCCCTCCTTTTTCAGCTCTTTGACATTATATCAGAATGGATTTGAGGCTGTTTATTGTATCCCTTTTTGCATGGCTGAGATTGAAAGTGATGATGCTAGTTGATTATTTCAGCCTGGATATGGCAGTGAGAACATTCTGTGTAAAAATCCAACATGGCATTATTTGGACCATTATTTACAATGGTTGCTATTGGTGGTAGCACAGACTAGCTAGCCATGTTAAACGATTCAACACCTATAGTGCCTAAGAAAGATGTCATTTCTGTTTTAAGCCCTGGTTTATACAATAACATTTCCTCATAAATTCTAATTCAGTATTTTCATGCTGGAATCTCCCTATGAACTTCCCAGTGCCGTATAGTGGTTAAGAGCGGTGGACTCGGATCTGGAGAACCATGTTTGAGTCCCCACTCCTCCACATAAAGCCAGCTGGGTGACCTTTGGCCAGTCACCGTTCTCTCAGAGCTCTCTCAGCCTCACCTACCTCACAGGTTGTCTGTTGTGGGGAGAGAAAGGGAAGACAATTGTAAGCCACTCTGAGACTCCTTCAGGTGGTGGAGAGCAGGGTATAAAAACTGACTCTTCTTCTGTGAAGTTTCTTTTTGGGTTTTTTGGGGTATTTTTTAATATATGCATGTGTGTGTGTGCACGCACCTGGAAGTCATCTGTGAAGTTTCTTTTTGGGTATTTTTTAATATATGCTTGTGTGTGTGTGCACGCACCTGGAAGTCATGGCGACCTCTAGTGACTGACCCCTACTAGGGGCCTGGAAGATATTCAGAGAGGTGGCTAAATAAAGCCTGCCCCTGTCTCCCGCCTCTGGTATTTCAAGGAGGTCTCCCATCCAAGTCCTTGCCAGAGTTGACCCTGTGTTATGTCTTGTAAATAATACCTCCATGTTAGTCTTCAGATCAGTCTTTATTGCTCTCAGTCACAGAAGTTTAAAACAGATCTCACAGCTGCAATCACTCCCACTTCCTAGCCCTGACTTACATACAATCCTCTTAAAGAAACATACACCACATCTTAGCTTCCGAGATCGGGCTTGCCTGGGCTATCCAGGTCAGGGCTTCTGTGAAGTTTCTTTATAACTGAACTGAGTGTCAGCATTCTTCTGTAGAGCATCCTGGTAGACTGACATGTTCTCCTTC